GCGCATCGTAGCGAGGGGGTGCCAGACCCACCCCCTCGCGCTCCCCCTCCAGCCGTCCGAAGCTCGCGCCGAAGGCGGCTGCGTCGATGATTGCGATCGCTTCAGCGGGGGGGCGACCCCAAAGGCGAAACCCAAAGCCGCGGGCGAATGTAACTGCCGTGCGCGTCGCCGTCAGCGAGGAGCCCGACGGCGCAACCACTCGCTCGAGGCCCGCGGGAAACCATGGGATTGCCGCGCCAGCGCCTTCGCAGTGCTGCTTTCCAATGCCGAAGGGAAATGCCAGACCCCCGTGGAACTGCTGCGCCAGCGGCAGCCCACCGGCGAAGCTCCACGCCGAAGGTGCAAACGGCTGCCTCATCGACGAGGCGACCTGACGCGCCAGCGCCATGCACCCTGCGCGCGTGCTCGCATCGGCGCGCATGGCTACGGCCGCGGCAAACGGCTGTCTCATCGACGAGGCGACCTGACGCGCCAGCGCCATGCACCCTGCGCGCGTGCTCGCATCGGCGCGCATTGCTACGGCCGCGGCCGCGCGCGCTTCCCAGCATTCGCAGCCCAGTGTCACACCCCAGTGCCGAAGGCAAAGGCGGCAACGCATGGACATGCTGCGCCAGCGGCAGCCCAACGGCGAAGCTAATCACCGCCATCGCCAACGGCTGCCTCTTCGACGGGGCGACGAGCCGCAGCGCCGCCTACGCCACGCGCCCTGCGCGCGTGCTCACGTGGATGCGCAGTGCCACGGCCGCGTTGGCGATCGCCTGCGCGCGCCACTTCGACAGCCCCCCGTGATAGGGGGGTTGGGGGGAGAAACCCTAAACCCTAAAAGGCTTCACTCTGGGTGGTCTTGGGCGGGAGTGCGACTAACCGTGGCGCGCGCGGCTTGGGCAGCGATCCCCCCCAACAATCTTGATGTGGGGGGGATCGCAGCCAGCGCGCGCTTGCGCCAATGCAGGCCCTAAACCCTAAACCCTAAACCCCTAAACCCCTAAACCCCTAAACCCTAAACCGTAAACCCTAAACCCTAAACCCTAAATTCCCAAGCACCTCGTTGTGCTTCTGCCCACCCCACCGCGCATCACCGTCGCCGTCTACGAGAGACAGGGCATCTCTGAGATACTTCAGCGGGTTGCCAGACTGGGTCGCCCATGCAGCCGTAGGCTGCCCCTTGGGAGTCGCGATTCAAAGATAAACTTTTCCTGATCCTCGAAGAGTACAACACCCTAACCCCGGGGACCTTTCGTCCTCTGGTGGGGTTTTTACTTCTCCGACACGTAAAAACACGTGTGGGCCGCTCTGCGCGCTTCTGGGCGCTGTTGGGAGCGCCTGGGAGCGCCTGGGAGCGTCTGGGAGCGCCTGGGAGCGCCTGGGAGCGCCTGGGAGCGCCTGGGAGCGCGCCGGGAGCGCTTGGGAACGCCTGGGAGCGCTTGGGAGCGCTGGGGAGCGCCGGGGAGCGCCTGGGAGCGCCGGGGAGCGCCTGGGAGCGCCGTGGAGCGCCTGGGAGCGCCGGGGAGCGCCTGGGAGCGCCAGGGAGCGCCGGGGAGGAGCGCCTGGGAGCGCCAGGGAGCGCCTGGGAGCGCTTGGAGCCATGTGGGAATTTAGGGGCCAGCGGCCCTAAACCCTAAAAGGCTTTAGTTTGGGAGGTTGCGCTCCCCTGCGAGCGGGCCGGGGGGGGCGTGGGAATATGCGGGTGGGAATATGTTGCACCTCCTGCTCCCTTCGCCAAGCTGGCTTCGGGTCGGCTTAACCGCCCCCCAATCAAGCTAGCCGAAAGGGGGGCAAGCAGTTGCCGGGACTGTCGGCGCTGCGCTACTATGAGAAGCCCTAAACCCTAAACCTTAGACCCTAAACTCTAAACCCTAAACCTTAAACCCTACACCCTAAACCCTAAACCCTAAACCCTAAACCCTAAACTGCAGGCGCGGACCTGGGGGCGCGCACCGCCACGCCTGTAAGGATCTGCCCTTGAGAGCGAGCTGCAAGTCGAGCTTACCGCGACCATAGGCCTGCCGGCCCGAGGCGGTGCTTCGTTGCCCCAGGATACCCTAACCTCGCCGGTTGTGCTCACGGATTACCCCTCGGCTTCTCCCCAGAGCTCCCCCCCAGAAGCTTCTCCCACAGGCTCTCCCCAGAGCTCTCCCCCAGGAGCTCTCCCCCAGAGCTCTTCCCCCAGAGCTCTCCCCAGAGCTCTCCCCCAGAGCTCTCCCCAGAGCTCCCCCCAGAGCTCTCCCCCAGAGCTCCCCTCCAGAGCTCTCCCCCAGATGCTCTCCCCAGAGCTCTCCCCAGAGCTCCCCCCCAGAGCTCTCCCCAAGGGCTTCCCCCAGAGCTTTCCCAGAGCAGTCTCCCCCAGAGCTCTCTCCCACACCTTCTCCCCCAGAGCTCTCCCCCAGAGCTCTCCCCCAGAGCTCTCCCCCAGAGCTCTCTCCCAGAGCTCTCCCCCAGAGCCGACCATGCGTGTTCCCAGGCGCGCCCCTGGATCGAGCCTGCTATGCGGATCTCCACGGCCCCCTCCACAATCCTATGCAAAAAATATTATAAACTGATCATGCGTGCTCCCAGGCGCCCCCCTGGACCGAGCCTGCCATGGTGATCTTTGCGTCCCGCTATGCAAACAATTCACGCAAAACATAATATAAACTGACCATGCGTGTTCCCATGCGCGCCCCTGGATCGAGCCTGCTATGCGGATCTTCACGGCTTCCTCCACAATCCTATGCAAAACATATTATAAACTGATCACGCGTGCTCCGAGGCGCGCCCCTGGATCGAGCCTGCTATGTGATCTTTACGTCCTGCTATGTAAACAATCGTATGCAAAACATAATATAAACTGATCATGCGTGTTCCCAGGCGCGTCCCTGGATCGAGCCTGCTATGCTGATCTTCACGGCTTCCTCCACAATCCTATGCAAAACATATTATAATCGGATCATGCGTGCTCCCAGGCGCGCCCCTGGATCGAGCCTGCTATGGGGATCGTTACGTCCCGCGATAAACTACCCATGCGTGTTCCCAGGCGCGCCCCTGGATCGAGCCTGCTATGCGGATCTTCACGGCCCCCTGCACAATCCTATGGAAAAAATAGTATAAACTGATCATGCGTGCTCCCAGGCGCTCCCCTGGATCGAGCCTGCTATGGTGATCTTTACGTCCCGCTATGTAAACCATTTTATGCAAAACATAATCTAAATTGATCATGCGTGTTCCCAGGCGCCCCCCTGGATCGAGCCTGCTATGCGGATCTTCACGGCTTCCTCCACAATCCTATGCAAACAAAATGTTTAAACTGATCGCGCGTGCTCCCAGGCGCGCCCCTGAATCGAGCCTGCTATTACGATCTTTACGTCCCGCTATGTAAACCATCACAATCCCATGCAACAAATATTACACACTGATCATGCGTGCTCCCAGGCGCACCCCTTGATCGAGCCTGCTATGGTGATCTTTACGTCCCGCTATGTAAACCACCACAATCCTATGCAAAGCACGTTGAGGTCGGGCGAACCCTCGAGTGCGCTCGACCCGATTCGACCCGCTTGTTACGGTTCACGCGTGTTTCTGGGACGCACATCATTCACTCAGGCTGACGCCAGCACTCCTTCCCCCCTTGATAGGGGGGAGCGTGGGGGGTAGATCCCTAAACCCTAAAAGCAATGATTCTGGGTGGATGGGGTGGGGCAGAACGCATCCATCCATCCCCCCTACCTCCTGAGGGGGGGGGGATAGGATGGTTCTGCGCAGAAACCCTAAACCCTAAACCCTCAAGACGAAAAACACCACGTATTGAGCAAGCTCGAATGGTGCCATTGCGAAAGACAGTGAACCGATACCATGCCGAACGATGTAAGCGAGCCCGGCGCAAGCTTGCGCGAGCGCCCGATGGGCGCGCCAACCATATCCGACGCTCCGAGCGAGCCGGGGCGAGCGGAAGCGGCTCCGGAAAGGCGCGACGGCACGCTCCCAGGCGCTCGCAGGCGCTCCCGGCACGCTCCCAGGCGCTCCCAGGCGATCTCGAAGCTCCCAGGCGCCCAGAAGCGCTCCCAGGCAGGGGCTCCCAGGCGCTCCCAAACGCTTCCGGCGCGCTCCCAAGCGTTCCCAAGCGCTCCCAGGCGCTCCCGGGCGCTCCCGGCACGCTCCCGGGCGCTCCCAGGCGCTCCCGGCACGCTCCCGGCACGCTCCCGGCACGCTCCCGGCACGCTCCCAGGCGCTCCCAAGTGCTCCCAGGCGCTCCCAGGAGCGCGCGCAGCGCGCTTCGCAGCTGGCGGGAACGCCGCAGTCGCTGCATGTCGCGCCCGCGTCGCGACGTGGCGCACGAGCGGAAGCGCTTTCGGGGTGGCCCGACAAGCGCTCCGCGCAAGCCGTCGCGACGCGAATCCGATGTGTTTCACGAGGGATCGCGGCATCGGCAGGCCCGAAATCATGCCATCGCGACGCGCATCCCACGTGTTTTACGAAAGATCGTAGCGAAGCCGACTGGCGGGAGCCAATTAGCACCGCTACGAGGTCCGCAGACGCTAATACGTTGTGTAAACCCAAACCCTAAACCCTAAACCCTAAACCCTCAAGAAGAAAAACACCACGTATTGAGCAAGCTCGACTGGTGTCATTGCGAAAGACAATGCAAAGGAACGAACCTCGAAACTTTTGATGGCGAGGGTGGCGGAGATGGCGGGGGCGCGGGCACGGCGGCGATGGTGAGATTAGTGAGGATGGGGGGGGATGATGGGAGTAGCGGGAGTGCGAGGATGATAGGAGTCGTGAAGATGATGAGGGCGGTGGGGGTGGTGAGCCTGACGGGAATGGCGTGGATGTTCGACCGTGTCGACGGTGGAAATGATGAGAATGGTGATGACGGCGAGGACTTCAGGGGTCGCGGCGATAGAAAGGCTTGCGAGAGAGGCGGAGGCGGCGAACGCGCCAATGAGACCGATGACGCGAAGACGATGTTTCCAAGTCGGAGTGAAGAGCGCGCCGCGGGGCTCTCCGCGGCGCTGCCGCGGGCCTCATTGCGCCGCGTCGAGGCGCTCGTAGAGAGCGAGGTAGACCTTCGTCAGCGCCGCGGCGCCCTGCCCGCCGCCGAAGAAGGCGATCTCAGCTTCGGTGGCGACGCGGGAGGCGTCGTCGTCGTATAGCCACCAGGTGCCGTCGTACTTCGCGAAGGCGGTGTAGTGGCCCTTGCGGGCGGTGGCGCCCCTGTGCACGACCACAGCCTTCAACGAGAAGATCCCGACGCTGTCCGGGCCGCGCACCTCGAGGACGGCGTCGGCTGCCACCGGGTGCGGCACCACGCGGCCGAAGCTGTCCCAGCGCACCAGGTGAAGCAGCAGGATCTCCGGGAAGCACGTGATGCGGTGCGTCTTCAGCACGCTGGCACGGTGCGCGACGAAACCCGCGCACGGGCACTGCCAGTCGTCCACCTCCACCGGGCTCGAAACCTCGATGTAGTCCGCCAGCGCAGCGCGCACCGACGCAAAGGCTCGGCGGCCGTCCGCGGCCACAAGCGGCAAGGAGAGAATCGTGAAGGGCTCGGCGCCTGTAGCGTCTCGAGAAGCAGGGCAGCCAGGGCACGACAACCGCGGCCAGTCGATCCCGCGGCACAGGTCCGCGAGCTCCGGGCCATCGTTCTGCAACAGATTCAGTTGCAGGAACTCCTGCGCGTCCTCCTGCTCGCCGTTATGCCAGTCCAGGAAGAGCTCGGGCTCGAGCGCCCCGCGGGCGCGCCAGGCTGCTATGGCCGTTCCCACCAGCTTGTTCCCCTGTCGCAGCAAGTCGAACAGGCCCTCCTCAGGCTCGTCGCCCAGAGCGCCCAGCGTCGCGGCAATCATCCGCTGCACTGGGGCCAGCGGGAAGAGGGCCTGCAGCAGGGAATTCATGTAGCACGAGTTCCCCACGCTGCGGAAACCGCAGGGGCGCCGACGCCCGAGCGCTCCGCCCAGGCCGCTCGAGGCGGCGCGCCCCGAGCCAGTCGCGGCCCCCGTCGCCGATCCCATCGCCTGCTTAGCGACGCTTCCACCGGGCTGACACGTCAGCGGCGCCGCCGCGCTCTGTGCCCCCGCGCTGGCCCCGGCGGGCGCGTTGGCGCGCGCGCCGCCATCGGCGCCGGAACCCGCGGCCTCGCGGGCGACGCCGGACCCCGCGGCCTGGGCGCCGCTCGCGGCCTGCGCTTCCTCTTCTGCGCCGCTCGCGGCCTTCGCGAGGTCGGCGAGCCGCGGCCTCTTCAGCGCCGGCGGCGCGCGCGGGGGCGCCGCGGCGGCAGGTGCTGATCGCGGGGCCGCCGCGGCCTCCGCGCCGCTCGCGGCCGGCGCCAAGCTCGTGAGACGGGGCCGCGTGGGCGGCGGCGGCGGCGAGGGCGGCGTCTCTGCATCGGGGGCAGCAGAAGTGCGCTCCTCGGCCTCGAACTCATCGGCGCTGGCCGGTGCCTGCTGCAAAGCTGCAAGCCTGGCCCTCCGGCGCGGCGGCACCGCGGGCGCGGCCGGCGCGGCGGCGGCAGCCTGGGGCGTCTGCCCAGCGGCCGCCTTCTGCTGGGCCGCGGCAGCGGCAAGGCGCTTCCCCGTGATCCGCTGCCGGCGGTCGCCGCCCGCCATCCTCGACAAGACGCCAAGCGCTTCCTCCGGGTCCAGGGGCGGCGGCGGCGGCGGAGCGCCCGCCGGGCGCTTCCGCACGCGGATCATCCTCGCCACTGCGCAGGTCTCCCTCTTGTGTCCGGCGAAGGCATCTATACACCACCACCGTGCCAGACCAGGGCCATCCTGGGCCGAAGGATGGTGTATAGACCCTCCTGGCTCGGCCAGGAGGGCGTATACACCATCCTAGGGCCCAGGATGACCCTAGCCTGGCACGGTGGTGGTGTATAGATGCCTTCTGCGTATTGTGGGTGGCGAGCGCGCGCTTCGTCCCGCATCCCTCGCCGCAGTACTCGCACGTGAACGCGCCCTTGTCCCCGCGCTCCTCTGCGGCACGCGCCTCCAGCAACTCCGCCTGCCGCTCGGCGAACGCCCCTGGTGGCGCGCTCGCGATCGCCTCCTCGAGCTCCTGCGCCGTCTGCGCTGGCGCGAAGCACGCTCTCCAGTACTTGTTCGGCCCGTTGCCCCGCTCCGCCTCGTAGCCCTGCTGCGGGCGGAGCTGCAGCAGCGCGTGGTCGACGCCAACCGCGGGGATGATGGCGCGCTCGTCGAACGCGGTGAGGTATAGGTCGGCCAGGCACTCGACCCGCGACAGGCCCACGTAAGCTTGGCACTGCTGGCGAACTGTCTCGTCGAGGCTCAAGGCGATGCCCTTTGTCTCCGTGCCGCCCTGCGCCTTGTGGATCGTGAGGCCCCAGCAGAGCACCAGGGGGAGCTGCCGGCGAAGGATTCGCTCGCCGTCCTCGTTCTGGAAAGCGCCCTGCACGGGGCTGATGAGCACGCCCGGAAGATCTGCGTCGCCTTCCTCCTCGCGGGACGCCTGCCCGCCGCGCTCGAACTCCACGCGCACCTTCAGCACCTCGCCAGAGTCCCGCGCGAGCTTGATGTCCGTCACCATGCCGCGGGCGCCGTTGACGAGGCCGTCGCTGATGTCTAAATTCCGACGGAGCATGACCTTGGCCCCGATGGCGAACCGCGCGTCTGACTCGAGGCCGCCGGTGTCCTCGGGATTGTCGTAGCCCGTGTCGACCTCCACCGGGAGCCCCGTGCGGTGCGACGTGTCCTGCGCGGGCGCGGCGTGCACCTCGAAACCGTGCGTCTCCGCGTGTCGCTCGAGCATCTCCTCGTTCACCTGACGGACAGCCTTCCGGGTCGCCAGTAGGTGCGGCGCGCGGCTGTCCGCGGGTGGCTTGCGCAGTCTGGTCCGAAGCGTCGCGAGGTCGGCCTCGGTGTGCAGGCCTTTCCGGACTCTCTCCAGCAGAGCGGCGTAAGCGGGGTCCCGCGCCGCTCGGTGATTCCCCTCGAGCTCACAGAGCAGGAACATCTTCCACAGCTGGACAGCCGCGTACGCGGGCTGGCCCTTCGGGGGAGGAAGCTGGTAGAGGTCCCCACAGAGGAGCAGGTGAAGGCCGCCGAATGGCACTCCCGGCTGGCGCTTGTAGATCTGCAGCCGCGCGTCGATCCGAGCGAGCATCTCCGAGGAGACCATGGAGATCTCGTCGATCACCAGCACGCGGACAGGCTTCCAGAACTCGATGAGGTGCTCCAGCGCGGGCCCGGAAGGGGGCGGCGCGTCCGAGGCGCGGCCGAAGGACTTGTTCTCAACTGGCAAGTGGAGGCAGGAGTGCAGGGTGCAGCCGTTGATCAGGAAGGCAGCGCACCCCGTCGGCGCCGCGAGCGCGACGCCGTGCCCCTCTGTCCGCAAGAGGCGCGCGACGGCGCGGACGACCACGGACTTCCCGCATCCGCCGGGACCGTGGAGAAGGACGCGCGCGGGGGCGCGATTGCCCTGGCGCACCTGCTCCAGGAACCAGTAGACGATGTCTTGCTGCTTGGACTTCTGCGCGTCGGGGCCGAAGAGTAACTGCACGGCCTCGTCGCCGCCGGCCACTGGTCCGAAGGCGCTAATGGCGTGCGGCGCGGCGCCCGCCAGCTCCTCCAGATCTTCGTCTCGGTCCGGGTCGTCGGCCTCCTCGTCGGGGCGGCCAGCGGCAAGGCGGAGGCGGCGCAACAGTTCCCGGTGGTTCTCCCAGTCCTCCGCAGCCCCTGGCGTCTGCATGGCGGACCGCATGACGAGGGCGCAATTGAGCCGCTTCAGCTCCCGCCACGCAGCCTCCGCGATGTTCAGCTTCGGGAAAACCGTGGACTTCAGGAAAAAGTCGGGCGCAGGGAGCTCCGCCTCTTCCTCGCGCGCTGGGGCGCCCGCTGGCGGCGCCTCCGCTTCGTCGCCGTGCTCTCCTTCATTGCTGGCCTTCGACAAGCGGACGAAAGCACTCTGGTGACTGCCGTCGTCCGAGGGCTCCAGCCACTCCGGCCCGTCGTCCTCGTCGAAATCGGCCCACGGGTAGTGCAGGAGAAGCTTGGAGTAATAATACGCCTCCGTCTCGCGCTGGGGGTCGAAAGCCTTCGTGGACACGATTGCTGGCTGCGCTCTCAGCTTGGGGTCGGAATTGTACGACGTCGAGTAGGACGCCACGAAGTCGAACAGCGTCACTTCGCGAGGGCTCACCCACTCGTAGTTCTCGGCGGCCCTGCCTTCCACGAGAAGCGGAACCTGCTCCCCAGTGTCGTCGAAGACGGCGACCTTCCCCGCGCGCCACTCCGCATAACGGCGGATCACTGCGGGCGCCGTGGGCTCGGGCGCGTTCTCCGGGTTCGCGATAGCCTGGCGCCAGAGGTGCCGCGGCACGTAGGCCGAGTCAGACTCGGGCATGCCGGCATGGACCCACTGGAACTCCCGCGAGATGCGCACCACGGGAAGTCCGAGGAGGTGGTGGCACGCTTCGAACGTGGAGGTCACGCGGCCCTGAGTGCCGATGTAAGCGAGGCGGTACACCTGCTTGCTCGTCACAGGCCCGGTCGCCGGCACCCTCGCGATCTCCTGGTTGAGCTTGCCCACGGCGTCCTTCGCGGTGTCGTTCTTCAAGCAATAGCCCAGAATGTACCGAGCCACCGCGTGCAAGTTCTCGACGACCTGGAGGTCCATGGAACCGCGCCACCGGCGCAATATCCGGGGGTTGTACAGGCCCATCATCGTGTCGCCGCTGCGGCGCCGCACGAAGTACTTGTTCTTGGAGCCGTTGTTCCAGAGCTCTCGCTGACTCTTTTTGCGGCTCTTCTCCACCGGCTGCTGCGGGAACCCGAAGCGGCAGCGTCCGAGCGAGTACTTCCCGCAGTATGGTCCGTGCTTGTGCATCAGCGACTTCGTGAGCAGCGTCATCACCCCGTCACGATAGACTCCACGCCACCTCTTCGGCCCCGTCGTCCGCGTATAGACGTCGTAGATACTGGCGACGTTGTCCACCTTCGACGGGCCCAGGAGCTCGTCGTCCGTCTCCGAGGCCGCCCCGTCAAGCCAATCTGCCGCGGGGCGCTTTGGGGCTGCAGGCGGCTCGCCCTCTGCATCTTGGCCGCCGCGCTGTGCCGCTTGGCCACCGCCGCGAGGTTCCGTGTGCGGCTGCGGCGGCGGCGGGGCTCCGCCGACCCCAGAGCCCGCGCGCGGTGGCGCGTAGTCGACGGGCTTGGCGAACAGCTGCAGCGCTCGCAGCTCCACGAGGAACGTCGGCGCGAAGGGGAGGGCGTCCTCGACTAGGCCGTAGGTCTCTCGGGCGGCGACCCACTCCTCCTCGGACGGCACCTCTCGGTTTACCGATGCGGATGTCCAGCCCACGATCTGGGCGCCAGAATCTACGGCGCGCGCCAGCCACTTCCGCTCCTCGCCGACGACGCCGACGGGGCGCGCGACGACGGTGGAGGAGCCAGACGCCAAGACGTCCATGTGCGCCGCGTCGATGATCCAGATACAGTTGACCTTCACGCAGTCGGGAAGGTACCGGCGCGGCGGGGGCAACAGGAGAACCCTGTCCGTCGGCGGCCCTGCGTCCGTGGGGCGAAATACATGATCACCGCAGGCGCGCGCACCAGGGTCGGCGTACGGCACCGCCTCTGCCAGCTGCTGCACCATGCGCACGTGCACGAGGAACGTCTTCCTGTAGAGGCACGTCCGCCGGCTCATCCCGTGCTCCTTACTCTTCTGGCGCCACTCGTCCTGCGACATGACCTGCCGGGCGCCTGCCACGTGCGCCACCGCGACGATCTGGGCGCCCGCGTCCGCAGTGCACGCCAATCACTTGCGCCCTGCGTCCTTCAGCCCGCGCGGCCTCACGACCGCGCTGGCCTTCCCGGAGAGGAGCTGATCCAACTGCTCCTTGCTCACGCGCCAGATGGAGTCACCGGCCACGGGCGGGGCCGCGTCCGGGCGCGGCTGCGCGACCTCTTCCGCGGCGAGCCGAGCGTCGCGCTCGGCCCCCCAGTCGCCCACCCAGAGCAGCATGTGCGCATGGGGGAAGCCCCGCTTCTGCCATTCCACGCGGCTGACGAAGTCTTGCGCGACGAAGGGGGGCGCTTCGTCCAGGTTGTCGTCCCAGCAATCCCACTTGACGTCGCCCTGGAGCAGATCCATGTATCCGACATCCTCGGCGCCCGTGGGCGCTTCGCCACCGTCCGCCGCCTCCGTGCCGCGAAGCAGAGTCGGCTTTGGAAACGGCGGGCAGCTCTCTCCCTTTGTCTTCCGCGCCTCGGTGATCCAGCTGAGAAATCTTTCCAACTGCCGGTTCCACTCGCGCTCGACGTCTGCAGGGACCTTCTGGCACAGTTGAAGAGCTGTCATCCCAGTTCGCCTGGTCTCCGAGCCGCTCTCGCACGCCGCGGCCGCGTCATTCGTGCCCTTGATCTTCTCGTCGCACTGCGGGCTGCCATCCCACTTGTGCTCTGGGTCGTTCGTGTACGCCAGCACCTGCGCGGCGACAGTCTTCTCCACACGATCAAGCGGCAGGCCGGGGCTGTCGTTGTAGAGCTGCGCCTTTACGCACGCTGCGAGCATGTGCGGCTGGCGCTCGTGGCTCGTGAGCGTGAGGAAGAAATCAGGGCGCCCGAGCTGGCGCATCATCTGGACGCAATGGGTGCGCTTCTGGCCCAGGAACGCGGTCGTGCCGGGCACTTTACCTTGCACGGCGTATGCTCTGCGCTCCGCCGCTTCCCGACCGGGCACCTCGCGCTTCCCCGCGAACACGGACGTCGCGCTGCTCAAGCTCTTCCGGAACCACGTCTCGAGCTGGTAGAAGGTGTAATCCGGATTCTCCTGGAACTTGGTCTTGCAGTCCAGCAGGCGGCGCCACGCGTAGCTGCTGAAGCGGAGCTCTTCGGGGCAGGAGCCCTCGCCCCCCGGGAACAGCGTCGGGAACGCCAGCGCCTCCGTCAACGGGCGAATCTCCGCCGACCCCCGGTTCTTCTGGAGGTCTCTCACAACGGCGCCGACCAGAGCGGGCCCGCCCGCGGTGAAGTACGTTGCGTCTCCTTCGAAAGCGCCCTGCGCCGCCGCCTCGGCCTCCGGGTCGATCGCTTGGCGATCGTCAGCAAGCTTCTCAGCGAGCTTCGTCTCGAGGGCCTTGATGGCTGCCGTTGCCTGGCCCAGCACGGAGAAGTCGCGATAGTATGCGTTATTCTTCGCGAGCCACTTCAGCGCGTCGAGGAGCTTCTGAGCGCGCACGGGGACTGCCCAGCCGGGCGGGGCGCCCCGCGGCCGGAGCCAGAGCACGCCGTCGGTGATCTCCATGCTGGCGCCGCCGAGCACCTCGCAGGCGCGCGGCGCTTCCAGCGGCGCAACGAAGGTCCCGCCCTTCGCCGTCGCCGTGCCGCCCTTGGGCGCGTGCACCATGACCACGTTCGTCTCCACCAGCAGTAAAGACAAAAACTAAAAAAAAAAAAAATAAAAAAAAAAACAAAAAAAAAAAAAAAAAAAACAAAAAAAAAAAAAAAAATAAAAAACAAAAAAAGAACAAAAAAAAAAAAAAAAGAAAAAAAAAAAAAAAAAAAAAAAAGAAAAAAAGAAAAAAAAGAAGAAAAACAAAACAAAAAAGCAATCGCTCCTCGAGGGCAAGAGTGTGTCTCGAAGCGCTCCTGAGCGTACCCGTGTCGGGAATGGAGCTAACACCGCGAGACGCGCGCCCCGCGATCCTCCGCCCGCACGCAGTAATCGCAGATGTGCGGGATAATCTCGGAGGCGTCCTCGCGCAAGGTCTGTGCGATGAGGTCTGACGGGCACTCGCGCTTGCAGTGGTGCTTGGAGACCTTGACGCCGCAGGCGAAGCACACGACGCTGGGGCTATCCAGCGAGAGCTCCTTTGCCCACCGCAGCCAACTCTTCTCGCACTGGACGCTCGGGTCGCCCGAACGGTCCGCCGCCTCTTCCTAAAGGACGAGGCCACTCGTCCGGTGCTGGCGCGGGTCGGCCCCGGCCGCCGCGAGCAGCGCCCCGTACTTGTGCTGGCCAATCCCCAAGCACGCGCAGACGTTTCCCCGGCTGAACAAGTACTCCATCGTCGAAGCTCTCTCACTCAGCATCTCCCGCACCAGCGCCTTCTGCTCCTCCGTGAGCACGCACTCGACCGCCCCGTCGGCGCCTGGCTTGAAGGTCAACAGCCCTGTGTGCGGCGCTGCGCGCGCGGCAAACTCGGCGCGCCGAGCATCGTCCTGAGTGGCGCTCTGCGGCTCATCCTTCTGCTTCTCGAGGAACTCTTGCATCGCGACCTTGAGCTTTTGCGGCCGCGGCCCTCGGGCTCGCGTGGCCGCGCCCATGTCCCGGACCTTGGCTGCGAGCTCACTGTAGCGCTTGTTATCCTTGCCTATGCGGCGCATGATGCCTCCCCTGTCTAGCATCGGCTCCCCGTCGTCCGTCTTTGCGTCGTAGAGCTGGTGAAACTCTGCGAACTCCTCTTCAGTGCACTTCGCGCTCTCCACATTTTCCACCAGATGAAGGGCCAGACTGCCGCGCTCGGAGTGATATCTGTTGCGCACGTCGCCCTTGTGGATCTCCCAAGAATCGTCTGCGACCTCGTCTGCGCCGAAATCGGCGCGGGCCCTTCCGCGGGCGAGCGCCTCTTCGAAGTAACCCTCTACGATCTCCTTCTGGTGGTCGACAGGTATCCTGCGCGATGCCAAGTCGAAGATGTCCGGGTCGGCCTCGAAGAACTTTGCGAGCTGCGACCTAGGATGACAGCGATCGCGCGGAAGCAAGCGATTGATGATCGGTCGAACCCGCTCGGTCGCCGATGCGATCGGGAGCACGTACCCAGATCAATCGACCCCTAAACGCGCCACGATCCATCGCGCAGATGCGTCTCGGGGATCGCTCGAACAAGAAACGCTCACCTGAGCAAATCGGAAACACTGGCGATCGCTGGAGCCAGCGTCTACTGCAGACCCTAAGAGCTTGCGCTGACGCTCCCCCGCCGCGCACTGGGCCTGCATGCCGTCCGCGCTGCACCACGTGCACTGGTTGGAGAATTTCGCCAGCGCTGCCTGACCGGGCCGGGTCTGGTGGAACCGACATTGCACTCTGGCACCATGCTCCGCGCGCCCTTGACAGATGGGCGGCCCCATTGGTCAGATGTCGGATATCTCGAAGCAGTCTCGCAGACCGCGCCAAGGTTTGCTTGGGCCGAGAAATCTACGGAGAGAGGCCGAGGAACGAGGCTTGGAGTCTGACCGGCCTCGTTCGTCTCAGAGTGCTAAATCGACTTGGACATCCCTCGCTGGAGATAATGTGGACTCGGCTAATTCTCAGAACATGATCAAATATCCCTCTTGGCGCACTCCTGGCTTGTGGTCTGAATTTGGTCTGTCTTGTGGCCTGTGTGGGACGGATCTGGCGAGAGAGCGGATCAGGATAGAAGGCGCCGTCTGTGCCGTCCTTCAAACATAATTTGGAAATAGCACCCAGGAGGGCGCCAGGCGCCGCGCCGGGCGTGGGCCGCGGCCGCAGCGGGCGCGGTGGCGAGGCCGAAGGCGCCGTCTGTGGCGCCCTTCAAAGATAGCTCGGAGATTGCGCCCAGAGGGCACCAGGCGCCGCGCCGGGCGTAACCCGCGGCCGCAGCGGGCGCGGGGGCGAGGCCGAAAGCGCCGTCTGTGGCGTCCTTCAAAGATAGGTCGGAGATAGCGCCAGGAGGGCGCCAGGCCCCACGCAGGGCGTGGCCCGCGGACGCAGCCCATGACCCTGCGCCGCCTTAAAGAAGACGTTCATTCACACCTGAGAACATCCAAGATATGCCTGTACCCTGCAGGACCCTCGCGGCAGAGGGCCCCGGACACTCTGACTGGGTCACGGTACTATCATTCCCGCTCCCTGTATACGTGGTGCGCGTCGCGCAGTTCTCGACGGCCAGAGTGCCACGGCAGGGCACAAGCCGTGCTACACGGGTGTCGCTTCATCCCCCAGGAAACCCGCTCCCAAATGAGACCGACACGCCCACGCAGAAACCCTGACCAACCACGCGCTCAAACTGGAATCGGCGACACCCATACAGCACGATTTCGTCGAGAAGGACCTCCGCGAATGCTCGACCGACCAGCGCCCAACGCAGAGGGCCCGAACAGGCCTCCTGTGCACGAGCGCCAGACGGGTTCATTCGCAGAGATGCCCACGTCTTACACCCGCAATGGACTTGCGCCCAAAGCGAGTGAGTCCTCGCGAACTCGGAGTCCATGAGGCACCTGCGCGCAGGAGAATAGCAGGGAGGATGGAAGCGCCAACGCAAAAGAAAGAAGCCGCAGGAAGGATAATGGGAGGTAATAAAGGACATGCAGAGATGGCCAAGGAGCAGAAGGCCGCGTCCCCAGCCCCGACGCGGCCAGGAACGCGCTCCCTGGCCGAATTCCTGTCCCCGGTATATGACTAAAGCGCCGACGTTGCGAAGCGCGCAAAGCGCCCGCCCAGCATTGCCCACCCTGGCAGC